GCGCACTGCCAGGGTGGACAGCGTGCGGTCACTTCGCCGGCTTGCCAAAACTGTGGCCAGGGCCGAAAGGCCCCCACGGCCGGGGGGTGCAGCACGCGGCAAGGCACAGGGGGAGAAAAAGCGTCAGGAGACAACAAGGCGAGTGCCACGCGTCGCCGGGGTGTTTGGGCGCGCGGTAGCGAGGTCTGCCAGGTGGCTCTAAGGTCGACGAAGTCGATGCGGGGGCGGTCCTGGGGCACCAGGTGGCTTCTGCGGTTACTCGCACAGGATGCGGGGCGCGGTCGGCGCTGGAGAAGCGCAATGCTGGCGGTGCGGCGAAGGCTCGGCGGGGTCTGGGGGCCGCTGCCTCTGGGTGCCGCCCGCGTTGGTATGGCCCGGGTCCAGGGTATCACAGGTACTGCAGGCCCGACGCGTTGGAAAGGCTCTGCCGGGATGGGTCGTTGTCGGGCCAGGAGGGACTGCGCGCCTCTTGCCCTCTCCTTTGCATTGCCCTTTGCCTTCTCCGAGTGCGTCGTGGGGAATCTCGATGCAACCTGCACTCCGCAGAGAAGGTCCACAGGTGGGGCGGGAGGACGATTCTCCTATGCCCCACCCAGCGCAGCAGTGCAGTGCATCAGTAGGGACGAAGCCAGCGTCAAGACAGGCAGAAGGGGGTCTGCTAGCAACGACAAACAGCCGAGGGCGGCCACAAAGGCCCAACATACACACACACACCACACACCATAGGGGCCGCCAGCTCCCGCTGTCTCGTGCTGCTGTTCCCTTTAATCGTAGTCATCATCTCATCATCTCATCCCCCTCCTCTACTTGCTCCTCCCGCACTCATCATCCCCTCCTCCTCCTCCTCCTCCTCCTCATCATCATCATCATCATCCTCATCATCATCCTCATCCTCCTCCTCATCATCATCATCATCATCATCATCATCAACATCATCATCATCATCATCATCAACATCAACATCAGCATAATCATCATCATCAGCATCAGCATCATCGTCATCATCAGCCTCAGCATCATCATCATCATCCTTTTCCTCCCTCTCATTCTCATCATCACCCTCCTCTTCCCGTCTTCATCATCCTCATCACTTGCCACTTCCTTCTCCGCCTCCAGCTCGTCATCCTGTCGATCCCATCATCCTTCCCCGCTTATCCTACTTACTCTTCCTCATCTGCATCCTTCTCATCCACAGTTTACAAACCTTTTTATAAGTCCTCCTGGACATCATCCTCATCATCTTGTCTGCAACTGGGGACCCCAATGATCCCCCCCTTATGAGTAGCTCTCCAAATTTAGCAGTGGCATGCGTGCCATGGCTCTTGCACTTGAAAGAGAGGGGAGGCGGAGAAGACGAGGAGGTGCTCCAAATAGCCTCCAAAATGACTCACGAGAGCTCGAGACGGTTGAAGGTGGGCCCCGTCATCCCTCCAAGAGGCCCCAAAAGGGCCACCAGGCTGAGCTGACTGTGGGGGCGGTGCCTGTGCCGTGCGCGCGTGCCAAAACATGGCTGGTGGGTGGATCAAAGGAAAAGGGCTGGCTGGAGGGGTCGGGGCGCGGTGCCAGGGCTGTGCGTGCGTGCCAAAATAAGTGGCCCTGGCAGGGAGGGGCCCGCCGGATGGGGGGGGCGAGGGAGAGCTGGGCTGGCTGGAGGGGGATGAGCGGTGCTGGCGCCGTGCGCCCAAAAGACTTCCTTCGGAAACTTCGGGGATCCTTCACCAACCTTGTTGACGAATCCTCAGAAAATCCTTCAGAAAACCTTCCGAGATCTTGCCGTAATCCTTGAAGAACCATGCGAGAATCCTCCAGTATGGGGAAACCATCAACAAACCATCGACCGCACATCGAGTATCGGTCGAACCTCGATCCTCGATCCGACGGCTCCCAGACCCTCTTTTCATTATCAGAGACTCCCCTCATCGTCTCGACGTGAGGCGCTGATATTGACACCATGGGGAAGGCTGAACTAAACTGGCCAGGAAGGCTGAGATTGAGCAGCGCAAAGCAATGCAAGACAGGGCAAAGCAACGCGCAGCAGTGTAAAACAACGCGGAGCAATGTGAATCATGGCAGTGCAATGCTAATGATTCCAATGCACCTCAACATGCCTGATGATATTCCAACGCAACGCCAAGCCTCCCCCGAATGTCGTTCAACTCCTGATCAGGAATGCTAGCTAGCCTCTCTGCTCCAGTGAGGCGTATACCAAGATTGAGATGTCCCTCTGGAACGCCCGCATTTTTTTAGCACCCGTATTCCGAAATCGGCCAGCACCCATCCCTGTGTCAAGTAAACCAGTTATGTAACCCGTGCGACCTGCAGAAATTAACAAGCTGCAGTGTAGACGCGCTGAAAGAAAATAGCTTCCATCTACGACCCCTGCGCCCATGCATGCTGATTATGTTTGCAACCCTCTTGACCTCGCATGGTTCTCCAGGCGGCCGTGCGGGGCACTCCAGTCCCACAGATAAAACAGCCCCCGCACCGCCAGCGTTATCTGGCACCGAATTACGACATGTGTCCCTGCCCCAGCCTCGCCTGGGCAGTGGAGAAGTGGCAGTCTGAGCAATAGTGGTACGATATATTTCGTGAATAAAACCAGGCAAGGGAACAGGGCGCTTCCTGGTCAGAGTATACAAGTAGTTTATGCGAGCTGAAGCTTTACGTCTGCACCAACCGCGCAGATGGAGCGCGGCCCGTTTTGACAATCAGGGGGAACTCCAGTGGAGGACTATTAGAATCCATGTTTGATATTGTACTAGTGGGTTAGTGATACAACCCTCCCGGGCTCGTGCTCGATGGGAAATATGCTGGATTCTACAAATCCTCATGAATCTCTGGAAATCCTGACGATTCCTTCAGGAATCCGCCTGGGATCCTTCAATAATCATTGTGGAATCCAGGAAGGATCCCTCAGGAATTGGTCCAGCATGTTCAGGGGTCCTACATGAATCCTGCAAGATTCCTGAAAAGATCCTCAGGACACCTGAGGATTCCTGCAGGAGCCGTCAAGAACCCTTGCGGACATCCTCCCGAATCCTTCAAGCATCCTTTAGGAGTCCATCACGATTCCTGAAGAATCCTCAAGAACCAATGAGAATCCTAAAGAATCCTTCAGGAATCCTCGGGCATCCTCCAGAATCCTTCGGGGCACTTCGAATGTCCTCTGGGATCCTGAGGGAGCCTGCAGGATCCTGGAAGAACTTTTCTGGAGTGCTACAAAAACCCTCAGGACGTCCCAGGAATCTTCAGAAATCTCGAGGGACCCTCAAGAATCCTACATGAATCCTGAAGGCTCCGATTGAAATCTGCCTCGGGTCTTATCGGGATCCTATTATGATCTTGGCGCGATCCCACACTGAGGGTTCTGGGGGCGTAGTATATTACCTCCAGGGGCGGACAGTAAGATAGTTTCGCCGAAAGGAGCCAGGGGGGGTCGATGACTGGAGTCACCGGTTAACCACCCCCCTCCCTCCATATTTCCTCCTCCTTCCCTCTCGCTCTCCATATACATCGTTCTCCCCCTCCTCCTCCTCCTCCTCCTCCTCCTTCTCCTCCTCCCAGCCCCTTCCTTCCTTCTCCCATCCTCCCATCGACCCTCTTTCTGTTATGGAGGAGATCTGCGTCCGTACAGAGAGAGAGAGAGGAGACAAGTACCTGGAGCGCTGTGGACCTACATGAACAATCCAAACTTCGTATGCACGTTTCGACCCTTTTTCCGATGCCCACGTCAGACGAGCACGTGTTCCAGCGGAACACCACGGGACACTTGTCGATCTCACGATCGATCTCACTATCGATCTCACTCAACGGGACGCCACAGGACACCACGGGCCACCACGGGACACCGCGGGACACCGCGGGACACCTCTCGATCTCACTATCGATCTCTCTAAGGATCTCACTCAACGGGACACCATCATAAGACACGATAGGACACCACGGGACACCACGGGACACCTCGGGACAATCTCACTATCGATCTCGCTCAACGGGACACCACGGGACACCACGGGACACCTGTCGATCTCACTGTCGATCTCACGATCGATCTCACTCAACGGGACACAACGGGACACCACGGGACATCTCGGGGCACCACATTGATCTCAGTATCGATCTCACTATCGATCTCACTCAACGGGACACCACAGGACACCACGGGACATCACGGAACACCTGTCGATCTCACTATCGATCTCACCATCGTTCTCACTTACTGGGACACCACGGGACACCACGACATCTCGGGGCACCACATCGATCTCAGTATCGATCTCAGCATCGATCGCACGATCGATTTCACTATCGATCTCACTATCGACTCACTCAACGGGACACCACGGGACACCTGGAGCCACGGCCGGATTTACGGACGAACGGGCGGGCGGGGGATAATAATTTTGTCTTGACTTCGCCCTAGCAACGGACACCACGGACTTCGCCCTAGCAGCGGCGGACACCACGGAACACCAAGGGACACCACGGGACACCGCGGGACACCGCGAGCCACCGCCGGACGGGCGGGCGGGCGGGCGAGAATCATTTGTCTTGACTTCGCCCTAGCAGCGGCGGGTTCATTCCTCTCGCGCGCCCACGCAGCTTCGCCTCGCCCGCACGCACGACACGAACGAAACGAAACGATTTCCCGGTTGGGGGTGTCCGTTCCACTGCGATCTCACCCCCCAACCTCCGACCCTTGTCGTGTCGTGCCTCCTGCCCTCCCCCGATACATCCAGTGCTTCACACGCTTATGCTCCCGATCCTGCTCTTCTCATGCTCCACCTCCGTTTCTCTTCCTCCTCCTCCTCCTCCTCCTTCTTCTAGTCGCCCATTTTGTTCAAGGTGCATCTTCGGGCGACCAGCGATCCCGCGAACTTCACTGTCATACCATGTACACCCCCTTGTGATGTCCATCTCTGTCGCGGGATGGCAGCGGGCACCGGGCGGAGCTCAGCAACGCTACGTGAGCATTAGTTCCTAGCCTCCGCAACGTGAGCATGATCGAACATTGTTGCAACTTCGATCTGACCGAGCTGGTGGGCACGCGGCGCCGAGCAGCACCTGGCCTGTCCTTCGCGGCCACGAAACTGGGAGGCGCCTGCAGCGTGGATGCTGGCTGCGCGCGCGGGCTGTACACGAACAGTCCTGCTGGCACCAGTTTCGCGCTCCAGCGTCGCTTCCAGGCGTCGCACATCCGCCGTGTGGCAGTGCCTCCAGCTTCTCTGCACGACCAGGGGTTCGCCCTTCGCCTTGGAAGTGCGGGCTCCGACTTCTCACCGGTTGCCCTCTACTACCCGCCGAAGACCAAGGAGAGGCGGAAGCAGGCCCACTACGAGGCTACCGTGGTGCAGCTCAATCGCTGGTTGGGCACGTCGTTGGCGGAGGTGCCGCGTCGTTCGGCGCCTCTTATCTTCCTAGACCTAAGCGACGGCGTGGGCCTTCGGAGGATGGAATCTTCGCCAGCGCAATGTCGCGACACCGTTGCCATCTCCTCGGCGGGGGCTCGCCTCTAACGGTCAGCCGGGGCTCGCTTTCGAGCTATTGCCGAACTCCACGACCTCCACTCCTTCACAGCCGACCAGGGCGAGGATACCTTCTACGGCGAGCGCGACAGCTCCATGACAGACTCTGTTCTCGCTCCCGCGGACGTTTCACGCCTGGTCCATGGGAGCGGCGTTCACCCCCGACTGGGTCGCCGCCTCCAGCACATTAAGACGCGCGCCATCCGCGACCACCTGCCGCTCTTTCTTGAGCTCGACAAGAACGAGCTGCCCGTGCCCCGCGCCAACTGCAAACCTACGTCCGGCTGGAACCGTGAGGGCCTAATGATGGCGGTCACTTCTGGCGTGCGACGTGCTACCTTCTGCCGGGAGATCTGCGACTACCTGGAGGCTCACCGCACCCACAGGTCGGAGTTCCTCGAATTGGCCGCCCCCGACCCCTTCTTTGCCTGGCTTGAGAGCGCCTTTGCCGAGACTCGTCAGAAATATTTCGGCGGCCGCAAGCCCCTCTGCGCGCGTCTTGACTACCGCGCGGACGCGGCGTGGCGCGCTGCCCTCCTGCGTGAACTGAGAGAGCTACCGAACATCTCGGCGATCGACCAGACGATGCCCCTGCGCTTCATGCCGAGTTCCGGGATCTGACGAGGCGCCTCTACCGCGAGCGGCGCGCTGCCAACAATGCGCGGGGCGCGATCTTGGAGCAGGAGCTGTTCACCGCCCTGTCGCAGCAACGTCATACTGAGGCGGCCCGCCTGGCTCGCCGTCTTGGGCGGGCTCGCGCTCGCCCCCGCCGCCGCCGCTGGCGCTGCGCCCAGGCCTCCGCCCTCGCCATCGAAGAGATCACCATCGCAGCCGGGCGGGGCTGGCGGCACGTCGGCCTACCGCCGCATCGCCGACTGGGACCAATGGCGCGTCAGCGTCGCCAACCAGGACTCGACGGCGCCCCTGAGCATAGATCAGGATCCCTTGACCAGCCGCGATGTCGCCCGCTTCCGTCGCAGGATGCTGAAGGGCCAGCGCCGTTGCGCGACGCCGCCAATTGCGCCTTCATCGAAACTCTTTTACATGCTGCGGCGGCCGAATCGGGAGCTTCGCCGCCGGCCTTGAAGTCGGCGCCGAGCCAGAGCAGACAGACACTGAGCTTGATGACGAACTCCTCTTCATGGGTTGCTGGCGCAGTCGCACTGCTGGCCGCGCGCCGTGCCGCTGGCGCCGCTGCCAGGCGGTCCGCGTAGGCGCCGTGCAGAAGGCTCGCTGGACCCACGTGCTTCCCGCGCTGGGCAAAAACTGCGACGCGGGGGCGCTCCAACCTCGCCCGGCACCAGACTACGCTTTCGGCTTCGCGCGCGGGCGCCAGCGCGAGGAGGCCGCGCTGATTGAGCAAATGGTCACACGGCGCCTCCAGACGACCTGCGCGAAGCGACGAATGCGTTCGCGTCGGAGGGTCGGCAGGCCGCGGGCCAGGCAGCCGCCGCCCTGGTAAGCGGGGGCACTCTCCGCATTGCCCGCCTCCGGTACCGCGAAGCGACGATCGCCTTCGACGCGACCGATGGCCCCCCGGCAACCCGCGATCGCCGGCCTCATTGGCGACCCCTTCCTGGTTCATTTAGTTATGGCCACGTCTCAGCAACGCGTGGAGGCCTGGATTGGAGCTCTCTGCCACGCGCAAATGGATAGTGCCAAGGACGTGAGCGACCCTTTCTTCGAGGTTGTCGTGAAACTCTCGCTTGCGGCGTTCGCTGGCGACCTGCGCCGCGCCGCCTTGCCCGCTGAGTTCGCCCCTGGCCTCCGCGCCCCAGCGGGCGCGGGCGAGCGCCGATCTTCTCGACGCAGCACTCTCTCACTCTGGGTACGTTCAGAACCAAAAAAGCAAGAGCACCCTCTTCGCAGGCATGGCGAGCGTTCTTCGCACATTCTAACACATGTTCGGCGCGGCGCCCCTGCGCTTCCAGGCGCGCCGAAACCGGGGGCGCGCTACCTCGGGGTGCATTTCTCGGCGCGCGGCGAGCGCGGCTGCGAGCTGCGCCATCGAAGGATTGCAACGGAAAAAAAGTTGTCATGGCAGGGGGGCAGTTCTGGTGCAAATCTACGGTCTGGAAGCTCAAGCGGACCACGGTTATCGATCGTTTTCAAAAATCAGCGCTCTCCGGGGTGGAGTCGCACATCTCTGCGTCCGCACAGCAGTGCAAGCTCGATCATCTCATCGCCAAGTTCAAGACAAACGCGACGGCGGGGAAGGCAATCATTTCTTCTCCGACAGAGCAGATTCGAACGGCGTCCACCGCCGAGGTTCTCAGGCATCGGGGCACTCCCCCACTCGCGTCGAACTTCGGGCGAGTGGTCGTCGATGGCTTCAACATGTCGCTAGGGGGCCCCGTCGGCATCTCGCCTAGGAGCTCCCCTTGGTCGCCTGCCGTGGGAGGCGGCGCCGACCCTCGGATCGGCCGGCCCCCATCCAGGTGCCAACCCCTGGGCGAGAATACTTCAAGAGGATCTCGAAAGCGTCGGGGCCAACTCGCCAGGTTCCCCCGATGCCTTGCAGGGCAAACTCTGGGGCGCCTGTGCGGATGCGAAGGCCGTCGAGCTGTTCTCTCCGATCGATGTGGCCGAGATGCGATGTGCTCAGCGCCGCGCTGCTTTTCCCCCGACTGGCTGGATCGCACCCGCGAGCACAAACTCCCCTCGAGTCAGCGAGGCGGGAGAAAACGTCTGGAAATGCGGGTGGCCCTAGTAGTCAGGCCCGTGCTTTATGAAAATCAGTCAACCACCCCGGCATGCCTGAGAACCCCCCCCCCCCCCCCCGGGGTTATCGTTAGCACCGCGCCAAGAATTAATAGTTTCAGGGGGGCCGTTTTCGCAGAGCGATATCTTTAGCGCCTCGCGCAAATCTTCAAATTTTGAAAAGATAGGGAAGAAAAGGAACGTGAAAAGAAAAAAAGCAAAGACGACAAACAGAAGAGAGAAAGAGAGAGAGAGAGAGAGAGAGAGAGAGAGAGAGAGAGGGGGAGAGAGAGAGAGAGAGAGAGAGAGAGAGAGAGAGAGAGAGAGAGAGAGAGAGAGAGAGAGAGAGAGAGAGAGAGAGAGAGAGAGAGAGAGAGAGAGAGAGAGAGAGAGAGACACAGAGAAAGAAAAGAACAAGAGAGAGAGAGGGGAACAAAGAGAGAGAGAGAGAGAGAGAGAGAGAGAGAGAGAGAGAGAGAGAGAGAGAGAAAAAAAAAAGAGAGAGAGAGAGAGAGAGAAAGAGAGAGAGAGAGAGAGAGAAGAGATAGAGAGAGAGAGAGAGAGAGAGAGAGAGAGAGAGAGAGAGAGAGAGAGAGAGAGAGAGAGAGAGAGAGAGAGAGAGAGAGAGCGGCGCGCCGCGCGCCGCGCAAAACTCGACTTAGCAGGGGCGAGCAGGGCTCAGCAGGGGGCGAGCAGGGCTTAGCCTTGCTTAGCAGGGGGCTCAGCAGGGGGCTCAGTAGAGCTTAGTGGAGCGAACAAGGGATAGCAGGGCTTAGCAGCGCTCAGCGGCGCTCAGCAGGGGCTAGCAAGGCTCGGCATGGGCATGGCAGGGCTCGGCAGGGGGCGAGCCTGGCTTACCATTGCCAAGCAGGGCCTAGTGGGAGCTAGCAGGGCGCAGCAAGGCTTGGCTTGGCCCCTAGTGCTCTCTGGAGCTCCTCCGGTGCCGAGGTAACGCTTCCAGGGTGCCGGACGCGCTGCACTTTCCCCAGACGCGTGGGGGGGGGGGGGATGGGGGCGGGGGTCTTAAAGGCTTGATGCGGTCACCACTTACAAGTCGTTGTCCCACCACCGTTTTCGTTGCCACGGTCTGCGCAACATCTACCATTCCATCGCCATTACACACCAATGCCCGAACTGCCGCATGCTATGTACTTCGCGTCGCACTGCTTATCGTCACCTGTTTGCTGCTGTACTGCATGGGAATGCATCGCTGCGCGGGGGAGGTCGTATCGCCGTCATCTTTGCAACATTGGCTGCGTGATTTTCGAGTTCAGAACTACAGTCTTTCAACGAGCGCGCGCTCGCGCACGTTCCCCAGGTTGGCCTCGCTCGGAGCCGCCATGGACCTCGAGGTGCCGCAGTGGGCCCCCAGCGTCCACGGCAAGAAGCGCGAGGTCGATGTTGCCGCCGAGCCCGCAGCTCGCACGAAACGCCTGGCCGAGGCGGCCGAAACAGAAGGCGGGAGTCAAAAGGACGCTTTGCGCCACCACCTCGTGCTCGTGCTCCGTCAGCTCCGAATTATCAACGCTATCGAAATTCGGGGGCTGTGCAATGTGGCCTGCCACGCGCTCCTGGCCCCCAAGACGTCCACCATGATAACAGCCGCGTTGAAACCCGGCCGCCACTACCACGAGGAGGCGATGAATATCAAAAAGCACGGGGGCGCCGAGGAGCGGATCCAACAGCAGGACGCGCTCGGCCCAACGTGTGTCCCCGTCTGGCTGGCGGTGGTCCGCGCCCTGGCAGCGATCGCCGAGTTGGACGAGCAGCATCGTACCTCGAAAATTTGGTGCTGAAGAAAATAATTCGGCCATGGGCCTCGCGGGCAAAGTGCGCAACTGCCGGGCGCGCCCGACCAAGCGGAATGAGGGCAACGACGACGTCATTCGCATGGCGTTCGCGATAGTTGCCAAGTTCCCCGCCCTGGATGCGGCCACGATGGCAAGCCTCAAGTTCCAAAACGGCGTGCGGCGCATCGGGCCCGCACCGGAAGGCCCGCTCGAGAGAAAGGTGGCGAAGCTGATGGACCTCTTAAAATGATCCGCGCCCTCTCGGCGCGCATGGCCAACCTCGTCGGAAACGGCGCGATCCCGCTTCAGACAGTGGTCGAGTGGGCCGAGGGCAAAGGGCAAAGTCCAGCATCGCATGCCTGTCCCCGGCAAGGCGCGCCGCAAGCCGCGGGCCTCCTCTCGCAAGTGAGCGCGGCGTTCCTCCTCCTCTCCTACTCCATCCAGCGCGGTGTACGCAGGTAGCTGCGCGAGCGCCCACCGAAGCGAAACCACCTTGGCAGGGCAATTCTGGACCGCCAAAACCAGGCGAGGGAAATTGTGTACAGAAAGGTTGTTTTGCACGTAGCACCCCGCAATTGCGGATAAGAGTGAAGGAGCGGACGCGGGCGCGGGCGTCAAGCCGGCGGACCTCGTGGCCCTCACCTTTCCTGTCGATGGCGCCCTTCTCCTCCTCCTCCTCCTCCTCCTCCTCCTCCTCCTCCTCCTCCTCCTCCTCCTCCTCCTCCTCCTCCTCCTCCTCCTCCTCCTCCTCTTCCTCCTGCTCCTGCTCCTGCTCCTCCTCCTCGTTTTCCTCGTCCGCGTCCTCGTCTTCATCGTCGTCATCGCCGTCGACGTCCACCTCCTCCTCCACCTCCTTCTCTTCCTCCTTTTCTTCCACCTGGAAGGAATTAACAAACAGCCCGCCGCAGGCGCCGAAAATTGTGATTTGTGCACTGAACGCGGTTTGGGTCGCAGGTTCTCCACCTGGAGCGAATGCAAAAGAAGCCCGCCGCAGGCGGCGAAAATGTTGGTTTGTTCAATGAACGTAGTTTGGGTCGCCGGTGGGTCGCGGGCTCTCCACCTCCACCTGGAAGGAATTCATAAACAATATATGTATATATATATATATATATATATATATATATATATATA